GCAAAGGTTCGTCACACAGGTGCGAAAATTGAACTTCAGCGCGTGCGCAGTCGATGATGGCATGATGATTTGACAGAAAGTCCTACCCGAGGATAACGTCATGCGAGCACACCGAAAGGACGATGAACTCGACAACGTACATAGAGCCTTGGATGAATATGCGGGCCGTACAGGTGCCGAGAGGTCGAACTGGTTGTGCGCTAGCTGTACGAAGCGACAGTCCAGAGAGCGGCGTGGTCACTTTGCGTAGGGAGCAGCAGAGCTGGGCGGCTATAAAAGAAACGGCAGCACCTGTGTCGACAAGGGCAAAGGTAGAGACACCATCGACAGATATGGCGACGACGTTAGCTGGTGAAGTGCGAGGACTTGAGCATTTCGACGACGGCGCAGTTCTTGCCTCTGGAACTGCGGCGTTCAGTTTTCCCGGTTGGAGGAAGCGGGTCTAGGACGCATTGGGGACAGTGATCGCCTGCGAGGAGATGGGGAGCGGGGAGAGTGAGTCTGAGGTGAGGGCTGGGGTGACCGAGACTCAGAAAGGTTAGTGTATCCATACTGCGGTGAGGGATAGGGAGCAGGTATGTGCATGGGCTGTGGGTCATACGGTAACGGGTGAGTAGCGGCGTGAAGTGGTTGGAAGCGACGGCGACAATATCGTGCCACGTGTCTTGGAGTACCGCAGGCGTAGCAGATAGGTCGATTGTCAGGAGTGCGCCATGAATTGCTGAGTCGTGGTGCGGCCCAAGGTGTCGAAAAAGGGGCGGAGTGGGGAGCAACTGAAGACATGGGTGGCAAATGCTGCTGGCGGGGTCTGCTGCGTACCACCTGGGCATACGTAAGAGGCGCGGCCACGGGCTGCATAGCCGGCGCATGGGCAACAGGCATGGCCACAGGCTGCTGGTGGGCAGCGACGGGAACAGCCTGAGCTACCTCTTCGGCAATAACGTCGCGGAGTGGTGAGGGCAGACGAGGGGACGGCGGCTGCTGCGTGAAGGGAATCAACGACAGTTGCCGAGCTACTTCTTCACACACGAAGTCTTTAATCTCTTGCAGGGTTGGTGAGTGGTCGGGAACGGAAGTGAGACTGGAGAGCGAGTCGGCGTGTGAGGAAAATGGCCGAGTCAGGGCGCGCTGCTTGCTCAACTCGTCGAAACTTTGACACAAAGTGACAAGTTCCGCAACGGTGGCAGGATTACGGGCGAGGAGCAGCTGATATGCACCGTCATTTATCCCTTTGAGGATGTGTTGAATCTTCTCCGACTCGGGCATGGTAGTGTTCACACGGTTGCAAAGACCAATAATGTCTTCGATGTCTTACCCAGCACCTCCACCAATTGAAAAAGGGTTTATTGGCGACTGTTGCGACGGTGGTCCTACGTTGAAACACGATCGGAAAAGAGCAAGGGTCAAGCAGATGCCGGCGATGATCAGCACGAGCCGAGCGAGAGAAGCCCAGCGCCCAGTACCCAAGCGGTGGCGATGTTGCTTGCCAACGATGCGTTTTCTTCTTCACAATATATATATATATATATATATATATATATATATATATATATATATATATATATATATATATATATATATATATAGGTATGGGATATGGCACAATGGGAGCGTTGTCAACAAGGATAAATATATTTATTTCCCAACAGTTTCGGGAGGGGTCCTCCCTTCATCAGGGGATGAGTTATACTGACATGAACTTCCAAACTTCGCTGCTGCCGCATCCCTCTCGCCTTGAAAGATGTTTGCGAGAGTGAGAGGGAACTAAAAAAAGGAAAGAAAAAAACAAAACAAGAAAAGAGGGAAGAAAAAAGACGAAAAAGAAAGAAAAGAAAGAAAGTAAAAAAGAGGAAGAACCACTGTCAACACTGAGAACGAAAGCAACTGTCCGTGTACGTCCACACACGGTTCTTATCACGTGCTGTTCAGTTCTCGACGTGTGTCGGGCCACCCAAGATTGTCGCCGCGGTGGCGGCAGGGTCCGTGAGGGCGTGCGTAAAGAAACGATTTCCCGTTAATGGGTCGGTCGGCGTGCGGCGTGCGTAAAGAAAGGTTTTCCCTTTAATGGGTCGGTCGGCTCTTCACCTTTAATCTTCTTCCGTTTCTTTTCAATGGTCATCAAGTGGTAGGCGAACGTAAACACTTTGTATGTGCATGTGGAAAAAAGAAAAAAAGGAAGAAAAAAGAAAAAAGGAAAAAAAGAAAAAAGAAGAAAAACAAAAACAAGAAAGGACAGTGTACACGTACGAGTCATTCAAAAAAAAGCATGGTCTCCAGCTATCAATCTTTGTCACCAATTTTCTCCTGGCTTACTTCTCGGAGGCAGTTGAGTTTTCCGGGGTCCTCGTTGATGCCGGCTACTAATGTTCGAAATTTGAAAATAAAATATGCCTCACGCTGTTCGCGCTCGCGTCTGTTTGAGAAACCGGACTGCAAAAGAGTTACGCTGATATTTTCAAAACTGTGGTTTGGCAGGCGCAGATGTCTAGATAAAGGTAGCTTCGGCAGTGAAGTGGCGTGGTACCGGTGATTATTGAACCGCAGCCGAAATGGCGTGTCTGTTTGGCCGATATATTCTTGTCCGCAGATGTTGCAATGTAGCATGTATATTACGTTACTGGAGTCACAATTAAGGCTTTCAGTTATGCAGAATTTGAAATCCGAGAAGTTCGCTTTGGATTCACGTGTTGTGACCATCTGTGGGCATACCTTGCATCGAGCTTTTCCGCAGGGATGGCACCCTGATTGAAATTTGGAGGTGTTTGTCTTTGCTCTGACAAGAATGTCCTTCAGATTTTTATCCCTGCGGTACACCACGTGAGGTGGCTTCGCGAAAATAGAAGTTAGTCGTTTGCTTTGCCTGATTATGTTGAAATGGCGGGAAAGTATGTTGTTGATTCGTGACGCTGATGAGGAGTAAAAGTACAAGGTTCGTTTGGTAAGTCGTTTTAGATACTCTGTTTGGTCCCTTAATTATATCATTCCTGTTCACGTTGCGAGCACGTAGTATGGCATCGTCAATAATGTCTTCCGGATAATTGTGTTTCAATAAGGAATGCTTTAGGTGTTCCGCGTGTCTGTCGAATTCCCGCATATCGGTGCATATTCTTCGGTACCGGTAGGCCTGAGAATATGGAATACCCGTTTTGCATTGCTTTGGGTGGCTGCTGTTGAAATGTAGGTACATTTGACGGTCTGTAGGCTTTTTGTAAAGGTTTGTTGACAAGCGGTCATTTTTGACCGTGACAGTGACGTCCAAAAAGTTAATGCTAGTTTTGGAAATTTTGTGCGTGAATTTTATTGACGGGTGGCATTTGTTAAAATCCTCTATGAAGCGGAAAAGACTTCCCTCATCATGGTTCCATATCATAAAAATATCGTCTAAGTATCTTCTGTAGTAGAAAGGTTTCAAGGTACGTCCCTCAATGAATGGGATTTCAAGTGAAGCCATAAAGGTGCTCGCGAAGTTAGGGGCCATTTTCGTGCCCATTGCAGTGCCACTGACCTGAAGGAAATGCTTGCCATTGAACTCAAAATGGTTATAATTTAGTACAAGCTCAAGAAGTGTAAACAGTGCCTCGCCACTTACACTGGTTGATGAGTCAGATTTTACATATTCAGAAACCATAGCCGCTATTCCGTCATGGTGGAGTATGTTGGTGTACAGTGAGCAGACGTCCATGGTCACCAGAAAACTGCCGCCTGGGATGTCGAGACTTGAAGTTTCGCAGATGAAGTGGTTTCTGTCCTTTAGGTAATAGGGAAAATTTGGGGGGATGTTTTTTTTATTAAGGAATTGATGAATTCTGATATATTTTCTGTTGATGTGCTGTTACTGGATACTATCGGACGTCCCGGATTGCCTGCCTTGTGTATTTTGGGGAGCAAATAGAATCGACCGGGAACAGAATGGGCCGGTAACATTGCTTTTAACATTTTGCCAGTAATTTTCTCGTCCCGGCGGAGATTGTTTAGGGTTACTTTTATCTCCCTTTCGAATTCGGGAGTCGGGTCCATTGGAAGTTCTTTGTAGAATTTTGTGTCTGATAGTTGTCGTTCCCCTTCCTTTAAGTAGTCCGACGTGTTTAGAATTACTATGCAGCCCCCTTTATCAGCCGGTTTGATAATAATTTCAGTGTTTTTTTCGTAGTTCATCGAGTGCCCTTCGTTCTGACTTTGATATGTTGTTTCTAAATGGCCGATTTTTTTCATACGCTCTTATGATATCTTTTTGAACTGCTGATATATACATATCGAGGTGTTTGTCCCTCTGCTCACCTGGACACCATGATTTGTCACCATATATATATATATATATATATATATATATATATATATATATATATATATATATATATATATATATATATATATATATATATATATATATATAATATATATATATATATATATATATATATATATATATTATATATATATATATATATATATACGGTGAGTGATGGAACGCCCACGGGAAAATCTCGTGGAGAGTGTCCATATAATTGCTATCGCTATAAAAGGGCCCTGAAAGGCCACTCTTCCAGCAGCTTTCGTTGTGACTGAGCTGTGTGTTTCGCCCAGCCCTGGCGCTTTTTCATTGCGCAGGAGTCCAGTTTCGGTTTCGGTATTGTGGAGCGTCACGAACGCCGACAAGTAGACCATTAAAATATATATAAGCCTTCACCTAAGACGATTCCTACGTCAAAAAAGACGTTCAGTTTCTTCTGACAGCGCGCTTCGAAATCTTTCTGCACCTAACTTATGCAAAACTACTTGAGGTGGCACAAAAACGCTTTTTTTTTTTTCTTCTGAGTGTTCTTGCAAAACCGAAGTCCATTACTCATTCTCAAAGAGCAAATAAGTTATGAGCATGGAATCCATTCGTTGGTATTGCATTTACCATTCGTTTACTGATTCACGAAGGAGAGCTACGTTAAAACAACCAAATAGGAGTGAATTTGTAACCAGCGCCCTCTTAGAGCGCGAGTGCGCACCTCACCGCGTTCTTCATCTGTCTTGCTCGCACACAAGATTTTGCAAATTGTTTGCGGTATGGTCTGCGAACAGGTGCGCGGGATTTTGCTAATTTTATTTATGTCATCGCTCAAGTCCACTAGGAATTGTTCGCCTCGCTTCTTAGACATTCCTCGCAAAATAACTGTGGCGAGTTTTTCTCGTTTGCGACGTGTGCGAAGAGTGGGCCGCTTCTACGTGGAATAAACTGACGCGGCAACGTCGTGGAGAAGATAACGACGACTTCTTCAGTGTGAGATGTGCAGAGTCGCGGCCTCGACCGACTATCTCGCAGCTTTCCTGGAATCCCGCGACTTCCCCTGTGCAGAAGCGCCTTAGCGGCGCCAGTGATAGTCTTTTTATTATTTACAAGAAACCAAGAGCGACCCCCTGGTTTCACGATCAAGTGCTCCTTGTTGATCTTGTTTGTTTATCGTGTATGCGAACTTTCGTATCAACGAAAATGTTGCTTCTTGTGCAAATATTTGTGACGATTCTGTGCTTTCTACGGTGTTAAATGTGGATTTCACATATATTGGTGTTAAAAGTACTAATCCTATTTAGTCTCGCAGCTTTCTTTCGCGAGTATCAGCTTCTGCATGAATATAAAATTTAAACTGCCGCTGATTCAGTTTTCTACCGTTCGCAATGTCTAAGCGGCATGTGTGGCTAGGTGTATCGTAATTACGGAGCCTTTTTTTATATCTCGTTTTGTTTTTCTCTTCCAGTCTTCGACATTGCTTTGAAAAACCATCTACAAGTATGGGAAGAGCACGGAAGGACTCATTCAATCAACCACCCGTTGATACATACCGCAAGAAAATAGGCAAGTATTTTTTTTTTAATGGAATAGTTTGGGTCAGAATATTATGGCAAAACTAGCACTGACCTCACCAACAGACAATATAGCTCTGTTTAGTCTGTGTGAAAAAGGTGCCACCTAATTTGTATACTGTCTATCACATGTAAACATACACAACTCCTAGATTTCTTTGTTGTTCCGAACCCATAGAAGACATTTAATGAATGCATTCTAAATAATTTATTCGAAACCTATGAACTTCAGGCTATGTGCTCAGTAGGCTACCATGCTGAGTACCACTCGTGTGTGTTTGTTGCACTTTGGCATAGTAATGTCGAACGTAGCAGGCTAGGTCTATTGTTTAAGCTTTTCACAGTTTCTGTTTGTACTGGAATGAACATCGGTAGAGATATGCAAGCACAATTAATGGTATATTCGTTACGTACAGAACTGTGCAGCTATCAGTGACAAAAAAGCCATGGTATCAATTGTTATCATTTCACAGGCAAAACATTTATATTTGAGGTGTTTGAATAGTTGTTTTAGCTGCATATCGAGTGCTGTGTGCTGATAGTTCAGTTATCGAGCCCAAATAGCCATTTCTCAGTTTATGAAACATCTATTGAATCTGTACCCCTGCAGAAGCAGTTCTACATGACGTTTAAATGCTCGTCTCGGCCATTTCTTCTATCGTGGCAGGTGTATACTGCATCACGCGTACTGCAGCAAAAGGGAGAGTTGGGCTTGTGCTCATATTGGAACAGCGCAGAGGAAACCACGAAAGGGAGACTCGTGTTGTTTATTATTTCTTCGGGATTTGTCTCTGTGCTTTCTCAATATGGACTACGTATACATTTCACTAAAGTACAGGATCAAAATTTTTACTGTTTGGTCAGCTCAACCTATGTTGCTGCCTTCTAAGAGCCTAGCATCGCCGGAAGCATAAATTACAGGCTGTATTTTTCCCCCCTGCTTTTGATTGCATTGTTTTGTTGCCAGGAATAGGGCACATTTTTATGATTCGTAGACTCTTTCCATTGTCCATTAAAGACAAAGAAAATAAAACATTGAACAAAAATATTAGGGTCACTGTCTCAGTTGCAGACCAGCAGCTGCAGTTGAAATCGTTGCTGCCAGAAGGGAAGTACTGTGTTAACATGGCATTGTTTGGCAGTGGAGTTGTTTGTTACTAACTTTCATGGGCTATTGAGCTGACAAATTTTGCTGAGAACTATGTTTTCTTTTTAACGTCAAAGGAACTTTGATTAAAATATGCTAACAAAAATACAACTGGTTAAACAATGCTACAAAAGTGAAGCTTTGTCTTGCAGTGTAGCTGTTCTACTGTAATACTTTTGCCTTGCATGCTTTAACATTTCCAGACTGGCATTTTTCAGTGGCCTTACGGCAATATTCTGGCCTTTATACATGCATTCAGAGATGGTTGCCCAGAACGGCATGTGAGATCAGACTCCTTGGCAATATGCACAAAAATCTTATTTTTGTGCTTATTGTGCTACAAGCTTTTATGTGATGACATGTGAGGCTTCCTTCTTTTTTTTTTTTTTTTCACTTCGACTGACCAAACAATTCCCTTGGCATGTGTGCATGTTTGCCAAACTTATAAAAAACAACCCGGAAATATTTCACTATACAGTTGTTCGAACGCCTAAATGCATCTGCGATGCATCCAGACATATTTTAAGCTCAATCAGCCCAGTAATAACATTTTTCAGTTGATTTCTACTTAGAAGATATTGAAGGTATGGCATATCTCATTTGTATTTGATGGTTTTGAGAAAGACCGCTTGCGCTTCTCTGCAGCTTGTGTTGTTTATGTTATTCTGGACATTATTTAATAAAAGCAACATCTGCAATTTAATTGTATATCATCACGTTGTGTGTAATGTAATGCTCCTGGACTTAACTTAACTCTTATGCACCCTTTACGATGTCAATTGTGGAGTTTGATACTTGCCATGTGATGAAGCAGTTACTGCTATGTTTCTCCTGGTACTTTTCTGTGCAACAGGGAAACACGAGAATAAGAAGTCCAAGTCTGATATCAAGGAGTCAAAGAAACGTGTGCAAAGCAAGAATGTGAAGTCCAAGACATACAAGGTGAGCCATTTCATTTTTCACCCTCATTCTACATTTGAAGGCCAGGGCTCTGTTTTCAAAGCCAACAAGCAGCTCTGCAGTAATATGAGGTCCTAATTTGATCAGCTCATCTTAGATGTATAGCTGAGTGATAATGTAATCCAAGTTCTTGGTTCTTATCTGGAAGCAGCGTTTCCAATTCCTCGCAGTACCTTTTTCGATAATACTCCTTTTCACACTCCATTTATCTGGGCAACACTACAACCTCATTATCACTGGAATTTGGTGGCCATCAATTGAAAATGATAGCAGCAGCAAAGAATTGAGCAAAGCTGGACAATATTGCCCCCATAGCTTGGGGACAGTAACACTCCAGTACTGCTTCCATATAGAGCTAATAAGTAGGGGATGATAATCTCAGTGTTGACTGTCTCAAGAACGGAAGCCTGTATCCAGCATTGTTGCACAATGTGGTGCTTAAATTGTATACCTGCCAAGTCTCCCTGATTTTCCGGGAGATTCCCGGATTTCAGCAATTTCTTACGTCTGTATGGTTAGATGTGAAATCTCCTGGAAATCCAAATTTTTTTCCATGATCTGTTTGCATTAACAACAATGCGAAAATTCCAACCCAATGGGATCCAGGCATTTCGCGAAACTTTTGGATTATCGCATGATTCAAATGACTTGAGGGGGTGTTGATGTAAGTGTCTCGGTTATACGAATTCACAAAATTGTCCAGCCGAATCTCTATTGGGCCGAAATTTGGATCTTCTGAACACTTTGGCGCATCGCACCGTGTGGCATGAACTGTGGTAACAAACCATCGAGCAATAGCCGATACTAACGTACTGGAAGCTTCAAAAGAACACGTGCGGCCAACGAAACCGCAGTTACTCCATGCAGTCTGAAAGAACAGTGAAAGTGCACACGCGTCCAACACAATCTAACGCTCGCCCAGTCAAAGCAACGCCTCTTTGACGGCAGAACCGCGAATCATTGTATCATTGATAGCAAAAAGCCACACAGTTTTAAAGGCATGTGCGCGACCAGTGCAAGCAGAATCATTTGGAGCAACCGCCGCGAGTGAAACTGCAGTCACTAAGACGCGATTATCAATAGGGACTACGAGTTTCAAAAATATGCAGCTAATGCAGTGGTAGATTAAAGGTGGTTAAAGGTGAAACAAAGAGGCATGAAGCGCTGTTGTGTTCATGCCTATCTTCACTTGTGACAACGGTGGAGTAGACTTACGCACTTCTCAGTTTGCCTCAGGTGAGTTCTGATGCGCACTTTCACGGCAGCGAGCCGCGCCATCCCTTGTTGATCCATTCACGCACATACCACAAGGTGAAGTCTTTTCACATCAAGGAATGTTTTGTGTGGGTGCGCTAAATTTGTGGCTGTGCTAAATCGAGCAAAATAAAGCAGCACTAAACATCTATAACTACCTTGAACTCACTCAACGGCCGACGTGGAGTATGAGAGGCTCTTGGCAATTCGTCGCAGATCTGAAAAAAGTGCTCGTAGGACATTTTCTGCAGATGGCATTCTTGAAGCTAGGAGAATGCAAAAGTGAATTAAACGTCACATGGACAAGCTAGATAGGTGGCAATTGCGGCTATTCGGTTCAAAACTTTACCCGAAAAAGCCACTCTTAATATGAGGTAATTTTCGTGGCCTAAAAACCCCGTCGACCCAACTGCATCCCGTCGGTTCGTTGCTTTGTTCTGTGACAGCAGCGAGCTGGACATGGTGGAGCCTTTCTGCTCTGAAATCACTGGTAGCAGTAATAGCACCTTTACCTCGTGCATCACAAGAGGTTTTCACGCTGCCAAGAACTATTGAGCTGGATGAGCCTTTTTCTATCATGGGACTCGCTGGGTGCTTTGGCACTGGTGAACAAGGCGTCGTCTCCTGGACCTGACTGTGTCAGCTACGCTGAGTTAACTCATGTAGGGGACAAGGCGAAGATAAGATGCATATACTTGCTATATTCAATGCCAACTGGTAGAGTGGGCGTCTTGAACCTTACTGGAGACGAGCTCATGCTGTTCCTATTCTGAAGCCCAACTAGTCTCCCATACAACTCAACTCCTATCGTCCCATTGCTCTTCTCAGCTGTGTAGGGAAGCTCATGAAGGGGATGTTGTTGATATGCCTAGACTGGTTGCTAATGAACAAGAATCCACACCCTCTACAAATGTGAGGGTTTACAAAGGGCCGCAGCAGCATCGACGATGTTATTAGTCTCATTAAATGCATAAAATTCAACAAAGCGACTGGCAACATCACTATCGACCTATTGCACGACATCAAGGGAGCATTTGATAACGTGACTCATGAGTCTATTCTACACGCCCTGAAGTCTTTTCGAGTAGAAAGTCGTGTGTACAGCTGGATCTTGGACTATCTCACAGATAGGTCAGTCTACATGTCCACAAAAGGTGACACAGCCTCTTGCCCAGTGCATTGATGGAGTTGCCCAGGGTGGTGTTCAATGCACAACCTTATTCAACATCTCTCTCATTGGACTAGAGAAGTGCATCCCTGCATTGGTTGAAATTTCACTCCACGCAAATGACATTTGTATATGGAGTAGTGGTTGCAACAGTTGTGTTCTACAAGCAATATTGCAGCAAGCTCTCAATTCAGTAGCGAAACTTTTACTTGCTCAAAGTCTAACGATGTCACCAGAAAAGTGTGCAACTGTTGCTTCTACGAGGAATGATGTCTCACGCTATACGTTAAAGGTAGCGCATTCTCACATTCGGTACGCGGCAAGTCACCAGTTTCTGGGAGTGACATTTTACTGCCTAATGGCGTGGACTCCCCACGTTCGGATATTAAAAGAAACAGTTGCAGCGTACGCGAGCATCCTCCGCTTGTTATCAAGCAACGCCGTTGGCTGCTCCTTAATGCCCTGTTGCAAGTGTATACAGCTTTCTGTGTAGGTCTTCTATGTTACAGCCTTCATGCGCTACACGGCACTTTTCAACAATATACAAGCACTGACTGGAGCTCAAGCAAAGGCCCTGAGGGTGTACTTTGGCCTACCAAAGAATACATCAAGCATCGAAACCCTTGTTGAAAGTAGGTGCCTATCCTGTGATTCTGTAGCAGGGGTTTCTTCGAGTCCGTTTGCTTCAGACAGTGGTTCGGTGGTGCGGAGCTTGCTCTCGCCACACTATCAAAGTGCCTCAATGCATACGCAACCATCGTGAGAAACTCTTTCATGGACCATAGTCACCTTCGTGCCTGGGTTCAAGAGCAAGAGATGCACACTCGGAGCAGCATTCACGTACTTCACTTTAAAGCACATGGAAATTATAGAGCTCACCGTCATATTTACACTGATGGCTCGGTCACGTCTACATCATCCATCATTGATGTCTGGATTCTATCTACCAATGTCACCATACCTGCCACTCTGTTACTGCACCTCATCTACAGCCACTATACTGGCTGCACTATGGGCTGCTTTTAACTACATTGCTCACTATACAGCTGAGCCCTGGGTCATCTCTACTGACTCAAAATCAGCGGTGCAATCACTGAATTCTCCGTGCACACAGGACCAACTCGTCATACTTATACATACAACAAAGCCTGTGACCTCTATCGCCGCATTGTTCTGTAGTGTATACCTGCCCACTGCAGCAGGCAATGTCTGGGCTGATGAAGCTGCCAAAGCTGGACATGACGCAACAGAAATCGTCAACATACCTTTTTCGAGACAATAGTATCGGCACATGCTTGGCGCTGTCAGCGATCCCTCTGGGGGGACTAGTTCAACTAAAGAACACCTTTTCTTGATTTGCCTGTGTTTTGCTCATTTCTAACTTCTTCACGACTCGAACAGTGCATTTCTTAGTTGTTCAAGTAAGCCACAACGACCACATCACCATTATCAGCAGCTTTTTATTGTGAGTATGTGTGTCTGCAGGGGTGTGAAGGTTTCCCAGTGATCGGAAGTTTGTGTTACCTTGCATGAGTTGGTTATGTTTTATCCTGGAAAACTTCAGCACCACTTGATATATTATTGCATTTAGCATTACTCCATTTACTGTCATTTCAATGCAGGAAATTGCCACCATCCTGGGCTTCCTGATCGCTCTGCTATTCGGAGGATACACGCTGTCATACGTTTTGCTCACTGGCAGCATTCCGTCCCTTTGGGCCTCGGTGATGAAAAATTAATGAGAAACTCGGACCCCCCCCCCCCCGTGCACCACATGATTGGGACGTCAAAAGCACCTTTATTTTATTATCTTTACTTTTGAGCATTACAAACTGTAGTGCGCTGCCTATCTTTCTTTTTAGGGCATTTATATGTACGTATATTGTTTTCATCTTAATTTAATGTGATGTACCTGATTGTGCACGTGACTGTACATATCTTCTAATGTACTAGGGCAAGTATGTTTAGAGCACAAATCGCTCAAAGCACAAATGTTATTGACAAAGTCTGAGTACCTGCCATATCTTAATGTTGTTACAGATAAGCAATGTGCATTTTGTATTACTTTTAAATAACTAGTAATGTAAACTTGCTGTTTCAATTGATGCAGTGTGTTTGCCCCAGAGAAAAAACTTGGATGAGGTTTCGCGTGAGAAGTTTGCTAAATGCACTTACCCCACATTTATGTGCAAAGTGTTATCTGTTCATCGATGTATGCGACACTCGAAATGGAATAGCAAGAAGAAGCCTTCTATTTTGCATTCACTGGTATCAGGTGTTCTGCAGTCTAGTTTGCAGTTCTTTTCTTTGCTACAAAATGCAAGTTGGCTGGTATATATTGCTATAGAAGTGAAACTTCAAAGAATCCAGTTGTGCTGGTTTGTAGCATGTTGAGCTCTCTGAGTGCTCTTTTTGCTTCTACAAAATCTAGTAAGCTTGAATGAACTGTTACTTAGTGCCCTGGTGTCACAGTTACTTTCAATGACAGGGTAATCTTCTATTCAAGCCTTTTCTATTTTATACGAGATAGTTTTATTGTGTTTCTGTTAAGACTATATTACTGTTTTTCGTTTTGTCTATGAAGCCACTTATTGAGGCCTAGAAGTCCTTTCATAATTAGTGTTTCTTCTCTCTGAAAGGAAACGACGTAAAAGTAGTACAAGCTTTTAGAAATGTTCGTTGTTTGTCCTTTTAAAAAGCAGTAAGCTGCATTTGTGACGTTTAATTCGACTGTATTTCGGGCTTTTACTCTCTTTCTCTGTCATGTTGTACTGCAAAATGACCTGTAGCTTTCTAGTTACAAAGTCAAGGACGTGCACACTTGTGTACATTTCAATGTCTTCAGACTTTCCTTTTTATCACTCCTGTCACCTGAACGCAAGTCTGATAGATCTCTACAATGGCTCCCCGGTGAATTGAGTACAGTGTACCTTGCTTTCTGTGCTGAAAAGTGTGCCAAAAAATGTGCCAAGACATCGAATGCTTCACTCTTATGGCTTGGTATCTGCAAAAGCCGAATATGATGCGGATGCACCGCAATTTAAAATTTGCAAATGAATAACACATTCATTGGTGAAGCACTGAAGACATAAAAGTGCTGCACAAACTCTAATGTACTTGTCTTCTTTCCCGTTATGCTCGGCCACTTTTCGCATTTCTGTCTTTCTCAGTTTTAATGCAGGTCAACTTGAATGATGATTGAAAGTGTGCAGCTGACAATTGTGTAGAAGTCAAGTTGGATTATTCCGACGAAAGCCAATTGTATTGCGCTGCTTATGCACTCAAAATAACTCTTACATGCTGCAAAGGGACCACTGAGAGTTTATAACAAAGTGGCATGACAATGCAAGCGGCACCTCACAAACTGGACACTTTCTCACATATCACTGTATTGCACCTTGTGGCATTAACGCACATCTTGTGGGACCCCAGGCATTTTGCACCAGTACATTTGCGGTTACATTGTTATATAAGCTTCACCTTTAATGCAATACTCTTTGTTCCAGATTTATTTACCTGTGTGTTCAAACAACCTTGTCTGAAATGTTTCATGTACATGCTAGCAAGTTGAGAATGATTTGTAAAATGGCCACACTCAGCCTGCAATCTTTTAGTGTACATTTATATAAATAAAAGGTTTTTTTTAAGTGTTGCTCGGTATTTATGGTTACCTATGAATGGTGATTACACTAGTGGTATGGAATTAATGTTTGCCCAAATGTTGTGAAGTGTGTCTCAGTAGAGTAGTAAAAAAATGGGAGAATAATAATTTTAAAAAAGTATGCGAGTATTGCTGCCTTGGCTTCATGGTAACTACTCTTGAGAGCACTGCTGACGTCAATCGTCTCAACAATAGAACCATTTCTTTGATTGTAACAGCCCGAGGGGCTACTTTTTCAGCAAGGAAATCTGCAGCCATTTTTAGCCTGTAGTTTGTGCTGACAATTGACTTTTTCTGCGGTTAACAGCATTTCAATATACTTTCATGTGGTTTGACCATTTAACTAACTGCTCCATCAATAGGAGTGACTCATATTTGTAGGCACAAGTTTCTTGAAGGGAATGTGGCTCTATTATCTATGCGATTTTCGAGAGGCACTGTGCAATATTGGTTGAAGTCGAGAACTGAAGATGTGAGGCTTTGTCCCAAATGTGGCTTTGCCTGAAGCAGGCAGTAATTCACCACATTGGGCATTACCAAATCAAAAGAACTTTTGAAAGAAAACCCAGCCCGTGTTGTGTAACACAATTGCAGCGTACACACCCAGAGTAATTAACATGCTCAGTTGTTACTTTAAACCCTTTAAGGCAAATTCTGTCAGTGCAGTGTTCCTGAGTTGGCCACAATTTTGTGGTGTGTGCGACTCCTTGAAGACACTGCTCACTCAATACAGCTTGTCACTGAAGGCTCCCTGAGTGCCGCCATAAGGCTCTTTGGACTGTTGTTAACATCCGTGACCCCCCGAAAATGCAGGGCCAAAGCTGTGACGTCGGCATTTGTACTCCCGCGCAACAGCCCAGTAAGGAGGGATGCTCCTCTTTATTAAAAAGGTCTATAGGGCATGACGGTCAGAATACACACGTAGTACCAGAGGTGTGTATCTAGTGCCTCAATTTTTTAGATGCAAAGCATCTTATGAGTTTGCTTGATACGGTTGCATTCGCCCTCCATTGCTCATGCGTCTCCCCTCCTCTTCTGTGCTCCCCCCTCGTTCACTTCACAAGAGCGACACAGGCAGCGCTTGCTAGCCTTTTGCGCCACCTCCCCTCTCTCTTCTCTAAACATCCTTCCGCGGGGCGTTTACACCTCGTTGTGCATTCACGTCCCCTCCCCCGCCGACGCAGACAGCGTCTGCTAGCGAGTTTCTTGATTGAACAAACTGGCTGCTCGTGCTGCATGACCATTCATGGCCAACGCGTATATATAGGCACTGGATCATTGATTGATTGATTTGTGAGGTTTAATGTCCCAAAGCCACCGTATGATTATGAGAGATGCCGTAGTGGAGGGCTCCGGAAATTTCGACCACCTGGGGTTCTTTAATGTGCACCCAAATCTGAGCACACGGGCCTACAACATTTCCGCCTCCATCGGAAATGCTGCCGCAGCAGCCGGGATTTGATCCCGCGACCTGCGGGTCAGCAGCCGAGTACCTTAGCCACTAGACCACCGCGGCGGGGCAGGCACTAGATCATGACCACCAAGGTGGTGCCGGAGGGAGATTTTAACTGTGCGTTATTGAATAATAAAAATTCGCAGCTCAAACGTTAACTAAAAGCGGACTGCGAGTCTGTGTCCAATCTTTGTCATTCTTTTCTTTGGCCCTCAATTTCAGAAACAGCATCTTAGCCACAGCTTTTGGTCTCATTGCCATTGCTCTGTTAGTGGTGAAGAAAGAATAAAAGAACTTGAGGGCCTTTTTTGATGATCATGTGCTGTTTTGCTATGCAATAATGTACATCAAACTAGAAAAAGCAGTTGTATGTGCACACTATGTAGTTTGGCTAAGCAAGAAATTGGCTTCATTTTTTGTTCAAGTGCATTCCTTACACAATTGTAGGCTGACATACTGCTCAAATTTCAATAGAAAATTCATTATTGCATGTTAGAATTCTCTCGAGCTCCAAAATAGGAAAATGTAAAATTGGGGGACCCTTAAGCTTTGTATTTATGAGTTAAATATGATGGCGATATCCTGTCCATAATACATACTTCAACCGCTTGGTGCATACTTTATTATTGTATGATGCTTCTTGAAAAATTTAAACTGTGGATTGCTATAATGTCATCAATAATGTTGAAAGTGGCTTGTGTCAGTGAAGCTTTCGCATATGGCTGCATTCTTTTGAAATGAGTAGGATGCTTTAAACCATGAACAATTATGCGTGTGAAGTCCTTGCAAACTCGACATGCCCTCACTATGTGTTTTTTTAAGGGAATACGTATAGTAACATGTGTGCGTTTTGTAATGGGTGGCTGGCTTTAGTATATGACAAAGCCGTATAATAATAACATGTTCTGATGTCCGATAGCAATGCATGCTTGTACCATGCAACAGCAATATTACTGCAATATTACTTGTTGAAGTGTGAAACCTGCATATAGGATGTGCGTATCTGTAAAGCATGAATGTTATTTTCGCTGCATTTATTTGCAGAGGAACTTATTTTAATTCTACTATTTCCAAGCAGATGTGTGGCTGTGTGGTAGAACACCTGTTTTAGGCCAAGGTTCGTCGTCACTTCGACCTGGAAATTTTTATTAGTATTTATTTTATTTGGATATTTTCCGATTTTTCAGTCATATACAAGATGATCTTTCTTTGCTCAACCGACAACACCAAAGCTGGAGTTTTTATGAAACATGCGATCCCTATCATCCTTTCCCATACTCTGCCCATGTGAGAGCTACGTAGTGGCTTGAAAAACTTCGTTATAGAAACTTCCCTAGCAATAAACGATCCCTGCTCTGTGGGTTGATGTCTAACATCCTGCAAGTTCTCAAAAACTCTTTGCTGCAGTCGGAGCGAGTTCGCTTGAAAAGCCCTTGTATTCTGAGAAAACACTGCAATGTGTACATGAAACTTGACATGTGTTCATGCTTTCTATGACTTCGATGTGGTCTGCGCGAATGATCAGACATGTGAAAAATGCCACCCAGTGCTTGTTGTTGGGTATTAGGCCTCTTGTGTGGTGGGCAGCGACCGTACATGAACCAAATACGTCGACTGCAACATTGGTGAACAGAAAATCGGTGGTCAGTTGGTCCTTCGGCAGATCTGCCATCTTCTCTTCTTATGGTCTACCTCTCCGTCTCTTGCTCAAGATGTATTTTTTTTTTTCGATAGAAGTGATGCATCCCTTGCCAGCCATTAGCTACAGCCTAGCTGATCTCGGTGCTCCTTCCGTTAAATGTCTGCTCTTATGTTGTACTTGCTTGAGGAAGAGTCGTATCAGAAGCGTGGGAACGTGCTATTGGCCTGGAAAGATGAAAGGATGTTTTCAATCTTCTGGCAGATCACTTTATTTAATGGAAGCGGCCACCAAAGCGTCGAAGCTTTTTCTATTCAAGAAAGGGCTCTAAATTCTGAAGTACGCTTGTCTTGGAAACAGCTATTGTCTTTAAGGGGGCTTATCTCTTCGGATAAGGAATCTTGCTGAACGGCATGAAGCACACTCTCTCTTGTTGTGGAAAGATCTTCAATCGTGTTCCTTCGCTCGGCATCACCTTTAACACGGCAAGCAGTTCCCATAAGGTAGACAAGTTTCTCCCAGTTTGAAAACCTAGGTTATTCAGGCTCAAGTCTCTGTTTTCTCACAACTGATGTAGTCAAATTCTTAACTTCTGGGCATACACCTTTATCTTCACCTCGAGACACTACGAAAAAAGTCGGTGACTGCAACACAGTTTCTTCATTTTGCTATAGAAAGTCAGGACCATTAAACAACAATGTGCATCCAAGTTTTGTACTGAGACAGCCTGCAGGATCCAATTTACTACATACATGTAGAATGTTTTTTTTTTTTTTTCAATGTATATATGTAGCCTAATGCAACCTTGCTGCTGACGTAAAAATTCAGAAAGTCTGGTTGCAGATCCACTCCCCCACTGAATGAGTTCAGCCAATTCAACTGCAAGTACCAGCTCACAAAGTTTCAATCTTAGAACGGTAAGCTCTACTAGAGGGGCCAATTTTACCTTCCCCATTAGGAATTCCACAAGGTGGCTCTCTGTATTGTCGGTGACCTTTAAGGACACCACCGCATACATGAAGCTTGTGTGACAGCTTGCGTTGATGCATCAAATTAAATCTGTATTTCCTTCACTTCCGCTTCTGAAGCCTACCGATGCATAAGATCTTCCGATTTGAAGGTGCTTGAATAGAGCTTTTCCAGTCTTCCCGTTCTTGCACCCTGAAGTGATGATGGTTTGCCCCAGTTATATGCATCGGCTGTGATCTTGCACAGAACATGTTTGGTTTGAGCCATTACCACAGCTATGAAGCCAACTGGGTCATACAAAGTTGTTGACTGTTGGGAGAACACCGCAAGATGTGCATGATGCAACATGTCTGTTAGGTTCCCTTATTAGAAACACACTGGGACTATATGAAAACAATGGGTCTGTTTTCTGGAGAGAGTAGCGTGCCCTCGGTGCATGTGCAGCTGCTTGGCCCTCTGGTGGTGGGATTCCGTGTGTACTAAACAAACTCGCGCACAACACTGTACCGAAAACTCCTCAACACTGCTGATGACTTTGGACCTAACCAAGCAATAAGTAAATCAAGCTCTTCTTGAGAAGAAAGCTCAAGGCAATGCCTTGTTGCTCTAAATTATGATTTCCATGCTCGAAAGTTAGCAGGACAGTAATCAAATTTAGTGAGTCTCATAGAGGGGAGGTCTCTTTGGCTGAAGAACTTCCGTAAACCGATCAGCTCAGAACTTGCATAACTAGAGGTCGGAGTGTTCATGAACAACTGGTTACGCTGCTGGGCAGTCTGGTGTTCCTGAACATCTGCTCCATGGCTGTGGTTGTTGTAGAACATCTGCTGTGGTTGTTCCATTTACTACTGAGGCCTTCACTATTAGCGATGTCTGCTGTATGGACCTCAGAATATTGATGCATTAGTGCGTGTGCAATCTCTCAGCTCT